GCACAAAATGAAGATTAGATTATATTGACAAGATATAGATTAATAATATGTCAATAACAGCAAGCTATATTTTATGAGCTTTGTATATGTGTATTCTAATAAGTATAATAAAAAGTAATGAATATCTATAATTCACAATTATACAAATGCGGCTAGCAATCTTATTAAATGATAATTATTATTATATATATATATATATACAATAAAATATATTATAGATACATCTATAATATACTGATAATAAGAATAAAAAATAAAATTTATCATCAGCCATTAAGCCTAAAGCGCACAGTAAGTCGAGAAAGTGATTGTTAATTATCATCAAGTTATTGAAATGGCTTGTTTGTAAACAGTCAGTACGGAATCATCTGACAGTAACTTCCTTCATGAAATTCAAATCAAACGATTCACTTCGTTTCCTCTAACGGACTGTTGAATCCTTAATACTTAAGCTTTCAAGTGCTTCATTCTCTCACTGTTGAAGTTTATGCTACATCATCGACATCTCATTTCTCATATAGGATATAACTGCATGTAAATTGTCGATTATTCAAAAGCATTTTGTATTTGATCTTACAATTAAAAGTAATATATGGGATGTAGATAATTTAAGATAAGTACATCAAGTTTAGATTATTAAAATACCTTTAATAATAAAAATATTTTATCTTTTTTATCTTTTTTACTCTTATCTGAATGAATATTGCATTAATGTCATATTTATTATCGAAATCGTAAATACAAAATAAAAATGCACAAAATTTGTAAATACATCTCAATCGACAATGAAACATTTTGCATAAGGTACATTATTTAGAAGAATTTATATGAACGTTTCAATGCTGTAGATATCTTCAGACTACTTCATGCTTATACATTTTGAAAAATTCGTGATTATTCTCAAAATATGTATTGTATATCAACATTTTTTACACATCCAATCAAATTTATAAAGTTTCTTTTTAAGGTACAAGACTTGATTGTAACTGTGTTTCTTTATGTAAATTGCAGAAAAATTATAAATTATAATTCACAGAAAAGAAAATAGAATTTATTTTCAAAATCAATATATATAACAATTAAAAAAATAATTAACTTTTATCTTTAAAAAGATAAAAATCCAGTTCAAAAAACACCAAAAATACATTTGATTCACACAATCAATATTTTTTATCCTTAGTTTTTATATTAATTGTAATTAACTTACCTCTTTAGTGTATTGCGAGTTAAGTCATTAATTTTCATTGACTCTTGCTGATAGTTTTTTTTTGTTTACTAATACTGGAAATGTAAAAAATTCCTGTAACTTCATATCCCAGTTCCTTTCGCAGTCCGCGATGAGGTAGACTAGCAATGAGTCAGTAGGCGGGAAAATGATCTCACTATGATACTGCTGATAGCTATTTCTCGCATTTCAATGGGACATTTATATGGCCGGCAAATTCGTAAGGCGAGACGTCCGATCTGAAAGGCAAGCCTGGCATGAAATATCAAATTGAAAGGCGCTAACGCATGACGAAAATGTTGGAAAATGATAATTTTCGACTAACAATAAGAATTTGCAATTCTCATGGGATAAATTATTACAATTGGTTCTCTAAAGTCAATTAGCTTGTTTTTCTTCACTAAATGTTACATAATTGTATGTATAATAAAATATCGCGCAATAAACATCTTTGAGAAATATAAGACATTAAGTAGTCTAAGACTTTAATTAGTAATTATTTTGAGTATTAAAAGCGTTGTTGTTATATACAGAAACATTAATATTGTTAAGAAAAGTAATTATTCAGTGTACTTTCTTTATTATTTTAAGTAACGATTATCTTTAACAGAAATACTTTTTATAATAATCTTAAAATATGCTTATTTTAAATTTTAGAAAAATTCATTAATATATTCAAAACAACAATTTATTTTCTTTTGAAGAATTTAATAAAATTGATGGAAGAAGCTTTATATAGCACAAATTAAATTTGTTTTAATTTAATAATTGAAGTATATTAAACTTATTAGGATTTTCAGAATATATATTTTGAATAAATTTGATGTTTGTGATAAATTTATGGTAAATTTACAGATATATGAAGTTTTGAAATATTTGAAACAAGTAATTATTATTTACAGTATGTATTTTTCTGTGTATAACACTTTTAATATTCAAAATAAGTAATTAATTACTAATCAATTTAATATTTCTAAAAGTATTAAATTTTTCTATGAAAAAAAAGTTATATATATGTGACGCTTTGTTACATTATTATTATATTACATTTTATAATCTTTCTTAACTTAAGTTGAATATTTTGCAAAAAATAAAAGTATTGGTAAATAATAAAAATAATAATGATAGATACAGAAAATTCAAATAATCTTAGCAAAATTTAATTAAAAAGGATCTTCGTATTTGATAAGTATCTATTTGTTCAATCTATCGCTATATTGTTATTATGATTATGTAATAATCTGATGTAAATATTTAAAGATCGCATTCGAAGACTCCATATTCCATTGCTAAAATTTTTGAATACCACAGGCTGTAATCCTGTCAACTATCGCGCCAATTTTTGCAAGTATAAAATACCTTGAAATTCTCGATTTTTACAGCTTGCTTCTCGTTCGGTCGGATGCCTCCAATTTCAAATAAAATCCCGTTCCTCCCAATAAGATCCAATTTCCTTCGGCCGTTTAAGTGTATTCATTCAGATGCACGGAGTGGCGCATCGCGATTAACGTCAGGTTGATTTATCGCTGCTTCAGCACGAAACCGTGCTACGTCCATCAACACTTCATCTAATAGTCCTTCTTGAATGACCGGTGTAAGTACACAAGAACTTAATACCCACGACAAACCGCTTCTCCACACCTGCCCACAGGTGTCCCAATAGATTTCACCATAACGCGCAGTAGTTCCCATCCGGGGAAAATCAGAATCGTTCGACGATTATGCACGCCGTAAATTCATCGTACGTACCTCGTTCTAACTCGTTTTTCTTTTACCGCAGCCGATGTTCCCGGCGCGTTGAGTGGAAATTTCAACGTCATTCGTGCAATTTTCTTCAAACCGCAGTTAATCTGTGCAAGTACCTCGGTTGATTGCGACGACCAAGATCTTAATATTGAGCTACCGCTTTGCCGGATAATCACTTTATCAAGTGACGGCAGATGCGGAACATATTTGCGCCGATCTCAATTTTATTTTTACTGCGTCATGTAATATAGAATGTGCTCCATGGGACTCGAAGCGATTTAGAAATAAAATACTCTCCTTTGTCCCTTTAAATTTTATTTCTGTTTCTTTCTTCCTCGATCTTTATTGTCTCTCTCTTTCTCTCTGTCGACTCTCGATTGCATTTTCAAAGAATAAGAACAGCAGCCTCGAATCTTCTCGCCGATTGCCCTCGTATAGGGAAAATCCCGCCAGAAATTCTCTTCGTGCGATCGTAATTGGATGCAAATTGCAACGTTCCGTTCAATTTTAAGTAACGCCGACCTACTGCACCAAGATTAAAATATATACGATCGAAATATACGATAAGAGAATAAAGCCTTGAAATTCCCTCGGCGTTATACAATATCAACGGTTGCTAGGGCAATTATTATAACTGTTGTTGCGCCTTTGTCGTTTCACACGACTGGCATCGCGGAGCTCTGCTCTGTGTGAGGTCATCCGTTCCGTAAGTATATTCCCAGTCTTCTTCAAGGAACGGAAATCCACCCGCGCTGATGTATCTGGTCTGGCCTTTCATCAAAGTCATTAGCCGCGAGCCGTGTTTCATCGCGATCCACGTCTGCTCTTTTTCGTCTACTTCGCCCTCTTCGATCCGCTTTCGCCGCGGCGTTTCTTGCTCTTGTCGTGCACGCTTCAGTTCATCACGTTTATGACGGCACTTCCGGCCAGGAGATCCGCGCCGGTCGCTCCAATTTTCCGTAGTAAATGCGAATTTCGCAGATACGCATTACGCAAATCGAGATCTATAAATCGGTGGAACGAGCGGACGTTTTCGCGGAATGTGATGTCCCGTATTCTACGGATCGTATTCCACGATCCGTAAAACGTATTTTCAAAAGAGAGATTCCTTCTTTCCGTGTACCAACGATTTGTAACTCTACCTTATCGGTGTCTTCGATATACGATTATCCTCGATATCCGTACGGCTTTCTCCACAGATATCTTCTGGGCATCTCTTAATTTACATCGCGATTCACCGGGCCAATAAATGTACTCCCGTGTCTAACGCACTTTATTAACGTGACTGGAACGCTTTGTTAGGATAACGGAAATAGCTTCGGGCGCGATTTACCTGTTATTATATTCTCTCTCTCGACTTGTGCGGCACGCGCCGCTAAATTGCCAGTTAGCGGTTTGTTGTGGATTCTTCGGGTCTCGTTTAAAGCGACATTACAACATTCGTTTTTGTCCCTCGTTGAATCTGGGATATACCTTAGACAATCTGACAAAGACAAACGACTTCCTGTCTTCTTTTTCCTCGATCTCTGTCTCTTTCATAAAAACAGCGCAATGTTTTTTCGAACTTCTGAAATTCTTCCTCTAAACCGCGATCGAACCGTTATAAGTACGTTCTTCAATCCTTTCGGTTAAAAAAGAGATTTCCTCTTAAGATTAGCCTTGGCATCCGTTTTATTATTCTACGACGAGAAATCGAAGCAACGGCTATGTTTCATGACTTGTCGTAAACACGATCTACAAAAGCACTTATCGATACCCGAAGCAGAACCACTTCGCTTATCAGGATAATGTCTTCGCAAATATTGTCTCCAGTTCGTACCCTCTTGCCGCACGTGTCGTTTATGTAAACTATGGTAAACCCACCGTCGACAAATCCTTGGCAAATATACTTTACAACTTTTGCTCAAGACAATTTCTCTCTGGCTCTCTTTCTCCCTTTCTCTTTCTCTTTTTTCACTCATGCATTTATATTGGACACGGACATTTATCGCGCTCACAACGTCGACAACGTTCTCGATTCTCCTCTTCCTCCCGTGATATCAGATCGATCAGTTCCCCTTTGTGGTTTCACGTGTGGCTCGGCTTTCAATTACTAGATATAACAATTCGAATCCCATGCGATCGATACCCGATACTCCTTCGCCTCCCTCGCGTTCCCGATCTCCTATCGCGGTATGGTTTACTTCGCCCTTTCTCCTTGCTTCTTACCGGGTTATCCGCAACGCGCGACGATATATATCATCTATCTCTTATTAAAAGGTTGCGCCTGCAGATCGCATCGCACGTTTTGACCTCCGACCTCCCCCGTCACGAATCCTGTTTGCAGCGTTTCGCTTCGTCGCGGTGATCAAGTGTCACAATTTGTCCCTCCGATAAGCAGACGTCTCTTCTTCTCATTGTCCTGTCACTACAGTTGCATCGTCGACATGACGGAGTGTCATCAACGTAGTTACTCTTCCGCGTTTCTGCGTCCATTCATACCTCGTCACGAATATGTTGCTTGTCCCTTTAACCCGCGTCTCGCTTCTTCAAGGCTTCAATTGGAGACTTGCCGCTTGAATCTTACGCTCAATGGCCGCTTTGAGACTTCACGATTTAACCCTCGGCTTCACGGTTTCACGTTGTGCTTCCGTTAGTCGCAGTCAGCAGTTCTCTTGGCAATTTACACGTACCATTTACGTGCGGTTAAAGCTACCATCGTAATTCACACGATAGAAGAAACCATATAATAATAAGAGTATCATAAGATTGAACAATCGCTCACTTTTTAGAATTCTCTGACATCCTTACGATCGTGCCTTGTAATTGTTCTTCTAAACTAAGCATGACCAAAGGATCGATGATGTAATCGCGTACTCTGTTTTTATTTCGCCGATTCAAGTATTCAATCGGTATTCAATCCGCAAACTGTAGGAGCCTCTTGCCTTTGCAACTACTCGACGAACACCAGGGTACTACTGAGACGAGCTGGGAGATAGTTCTCTTTTGTGGTGCAGACAGACTTAATTATGGGAACGCGGCTCCCTTTTGCCTACATCATTCACGGCCTCGTTCGTTTAATATTCCTCCTCTTATACCATTATGTCGACACGGACACTTTCTGCACGATCTTTTTCTCTCACTTCCTCCTTCTCTCCCTTCGCACGGTTCATTCAAGAAACAAAAGTCTCGTATTATATACTGGGCGCTGAACAATTACGAAGTAATCCACCATTCCTCCATTTCTCTTAGATGTGACTTAAGTATTATACTTCTCCGGTTAGACAGTTTCGAAAACGCAATCCATACATTCTTTCTCGCTGCTTAATTACGTAGAATAAATTAACATTTTTTTTTTATGCTCGCAGCAAGAGCTGACATTACATGATTTTCAGTCGTATTCAAATGAATTAGAGCAAACTTTCTTCTTGCTATTTCTCAAAGTCGTTTATACTTAAGCTGAAGAGTGTCTCCTTGTCATCTTCGTCTGTCTCGATAAGTAAGAAATTAGTTGAATGATTATTTTGTGCTACAGGAATAAGTTTCTCGTATCGTCACGTGTTAAGTCATTTTCGTTAACTTCCCTTTCGAATCGAACTTCCCTTCGCCCATGACAGGAACTTTACCCGACGTCGTCTTTTTAATACACTTCCTTTTAATACACTTCAGTATGTTATCATGTAAGTAAACTTCGCGGATGGTGGAATTGTACTGAGGCTAGATGTTGTCGAGCCGCCCCCGATGTAGCTCCTCCTTGCGTTTGCTGCACAGTCGGGCTATTTAATAGTGGGGATCCCTTCTTTCGCGCTGGCTTGTGGACCTGCTTGCCTCTTCATGTCCTTGCTCCAACGCGATCGTGATCCTAAGAGTCCTCCCTCCTGCCTTCTTTGTCGCAATCCCTCTCATTCTCATACGAATTTCGGTACTGCGCTCCGTTTCTGGCTTAAGTGCGAATCCGTGTCGAATTAACAGTTGTAAAGTCTCCACTTTAGGACTTTCTCGGTATATAATAACCAGATTTCTTTTAAGCTTAAGAACAAAAGGTGTTCATTTGTATTTATAATAAAATAACATGAATCTGCCTGGTAGTGAATTACGTTTAGCTAAATTATAAAATATTACTATTCAAATAATCCTTTAACTGGATTGAAGTTTATCAACAAGATTTAATTACATTATCTAATACATTACTAAAAATTATATAATATAATATTTATTAAATATCTAGTTATACTTGAAAATTTATATTTGAAAAATAGATTCTAAATAAGTGTTAATAAATTAATTCTGCATGCACATAAATTAATGTAGGGCTTTTCCATTAGAATAATTTGATTCACTTGAAGCTTAAAAACAATTAATAAAAATTTATCTGTACGCAAAAGGAAAATATGTTATTTAGAATGAGTGTTACTTGTCATTACATTCAAGTTCGCAAATCGTAAATCATCAGTCAGTAATCGTATTCAATTTTAACTTAGCCATCTCTTCAGTCAGCATTTCTTCAGTCGTCATGGAACTGAAAGTGGCTAGAACCCTAGAACGTTACACGCGAAATATGTGTTATTCGCTATGGGAAATCTCTTCCAGAGAAAATCACCGTAAAGGTTCCACCTGAAAAAGGGCGTTCTCACGCGAAGCGCGAGCTCAAGTAGTGCTAACAGTGGACATTTTCTAGGACGATGACCTCGATTTCTGCCGCGTTCCGCTAAAGTGGAAACGTTGTTCGTTTAATACCTACAAGATCACTTTTACAAAATCGTCTTTCGGGGGATGAGACAATCCGGAGAGGCGTTAAACGTGCAATAGCTGTCATATGCTAAACGATCAGTGTAATATGGTAATCGTATATATTTTACGAAGAAAACAATTAATGCTCAACATTGTTTTTTAATTGACTTCCCGTTTTCTTTCATAGTATTCGTGCTATACCGTTTATCGTTTACTACCATAATTAGACAGAATTATTTTTAAAACATATAATTAATTTTAAAAAAATGATCAAGTCAAGAAAGTTTATAAGATATTATAACATATTTCACATAAAATTCCTATTAATAATCTCAAACGTTTAACATCAAGTCATCCTTATAGAAAATGAAATTAAACGAGATATAAAAATATATAAGATCGAATTAAAAAAAACTCTGTAATTAAATCGTTGCTTATAAACAAGAAACTTGTATTACAGGCGCTATGGATTATAATTATCGATCATAGATCTACGCAATAGTTCAATAGAAATAAATTGATGTGAGATAGTGAAAATTTGTTTATAGTAAGATCGTCTAAAAAATAAGAAAATGTACGAATTGTTGCTATAATGTTTAATCTATAAATAGAGGATTGAAAAAGAATAGTTGGAAAGCGCAATTACGAATTAAATTGGGTAATAATGAGTTTAAACAAAAACGAAATGGAGTTTATGTAATTCATATTACGGAGAATTATTTTAATATCGTTGCACGCAATAGTTACCAAATATAGAAGGAAGCTCATAATAAATTTAAAAACGTGTAAAATCTAAATAGCAGTTTATCATCGTAAATATCTTAACGGATTATGGTGATGTAATTTTTTGGTGATTTAGATACTTCAATACAGAATTATTTTAATTTTGCCACGCAAAAGAAAGGTCAATCGCTCAAATCAACTGCATCTTTATAGAAATTTTGAAGAAGTAACAGGAAATAATAATACACAATTTAGTCTCCTTAATTAAATCTGTTAACAGAGGAAAATATCAAGAACGATTTTTATTCAACAAAAAAGGGTAAGTAAATTTTGATTTCTAGGGTACGATAAAATTAGTCAAAAGTTCATAACGTTTGGAGAAATATCTAAAAAATTTAGTAAGAATATTGAAATTTTAAATACACCATGTTTGTGCTCAATTTTCCCAATAAACGCTACAAATTTTTTAATAATTTTATCCAGGAAATAAAAATCTACAAAAAACATATATATTTACTTACACCTTTTTAAGTAAAAATTAGCCTTTTTTTTAACATCCTCTTTTCTTGCGTATTTACTAGATAAAAAAAAATAAAATCTGTTTCTGATATCATAAAAATCTTACTCTCTAGGTCTTTTTAATCAACATAAGCAGTTTACGGACAAGTTATCTAATAGCGGTACTTGTTAAGCAGGAAAAATAAAATCTGGTTCTGAGAAACTGTAAAGGTATTCAAGAAGATACAAAAATAGATAAAAAATTGAATAATTAACATGTCTTTCAGAGCTTCCGTTCTTGCATGTTATTCGGATTATTCTCTTTTTTCCCTTCACTTACATAAATTGTGATTTTAATTAAATGTCTCACGTTCGTATTTCCTACACATAAACACTTTATTCTTTATCAAAATCTAATAAAATTCTACGATACGGTGAAAGCTGGTCCTCTGCAACTCATCTAATTATGCATCGATTTATATTATACTGCTCTTCAATAATAAATATCAAGGTTATTGGGAATAAAAATAAGCAATTGATGATATGAATGTAGGCGTTTACAAAAGTAGGTCTGTACTTTTCAGTAAACAGAATATTTGTCATTTAATCATCATACATACAGTTAATTGCATTTTCCATCTACATATTGTATATATATATATATCATCAATTATGAAGAACATAAAAGGAACTTAAGTAAAAACTGTTGTATTAATGCTTCTCAATAATTATTTTCATTATTTCATCAGAGTCTATAAATAATAATAAATTCTTAGAATATATCTTATATAGTGTTACTGTAGCTAATGACATCTAATCGTTGCTTTAAACGCTCAGATCAATAATCACTTTATGTTCAAACGTTATTGTATTTTGCAACATAATATATATAAATTTATGTAGGCTAATTATATTGCTTGTGATTTAGAAAAAAAATGCAAGATTGATTTATTTGTGTCACGCATGTTTTAAAAAGCGTAAATTTGTATAGATATAAAATGAAAACTGTTACACTTAGTTTAACACTTAGTAAACTTAATAAATTTTACGGAGCAACGATTTCTGAAAAGTCATGCGACCATTGAAAGATATTACCTAGATAAAGATACATACGATCTAGATACGTTAAAAATGTTTGTATCACGTTTGAATATTAAACGTAATATTCTGCAACTTAAGAAATCTCTAATGAAATGATCCGAGAAAGCGTCCTCTTTTCTGTCGTAAAAAATATTTGCGAACAATATTAAACGTACGCTGTAATACAGCTTTATATAACTTACGCTCTATGAGCAAATGGCGAAAATAGATATAATTAATCGAATAATTACACGTTAAACAATCCATTTGCTATAAAACGTTTAGTTCGAAACGAGAAGATCAGAGCACCTGGCAGCATCCGTCGCGCTTCGTAATACGAGGTAATTTAGACTTCAAACGATCTGATTAAGAGAAGAGTATGTACGCATACTGGCTGTATGTATAATTAGGGTAACAATTATGATTACGGTATACAAACGCGCGGTTGCCCAGAATTTACACGTTATAACACGCCACGTTTAGTTTAACTTAAAACGTAAAGACGCGACGTCCTTTCTTCGCGGAATTTACGGTCAATTAAGTAAATCAGTGCAAAATTTACGAGTGTCATAAATAACGAAAAAAAAAAAGAAAAAAACGCGTTGAAAGTATTTAACAAATCCGCTTTGTAACAATAAAAGCGATTTCTGTAATAAAGTGAGATATCATATCCGTGATATCATATTATAAATAATAATAATAATAGATATAAATTAAATTAATTTATTAAATAAAAAAAGTATTGATGTTTATTTAATAAAATATATATTAAATAAAAAATACACTTAGCAAAAGTGCAGGATTCTTAATATCAAATAATATTGCAAAACTAATTCAAAAGAGCAAATTCATTTCAAATTTATAATCGACTTTTATTCGCCCTTTTGAATTAATTTTGTATTGTTATAAAAATAAAATTAATTAAATTTTATTAATTTAATAAAAAAATAACGTGAATCATATTATTTTGCAGAAAGTAAATATTATAATATATACCACATCATGTGACACATCAAAATCGTTTATTACTGGACATAGAAATTACATAGCCTTGCATATACGCGTAGATAAAATTAGTTTTTCATGCACAAGAAAGCAGTTTATACCGTAACGTAAAAGTAAAAATAAACTTGAAAATTGATAACACTTCGATATAATTATGACATTGGTCCGTGACATTGGTCTACGAAATATGCGACAAAACCACGCGTATCACTTTTTTCCGATAGTTTTTTCGAACTGAAGAACCGTAATAAAATCGCATATTATATATCACCTTATTAATGTTTTATGATAGTGGCATATTGTCTGCAAATTTCTCGGAATATCTCGAGCCATTGCCAGTCAACGATGAAATGTAAAGTATATCGAATTATGAAGAAAATACGAAGCATAGGGATCAAAGTGGAAGATAGTAATAAAAGTTAATACAGTTGAGCGGAAGGTAAACGGTATTCCGTAATGTCGGAATAATGATCTTTAAATTTCCTTTTACTTCAATGCGAGTAAAGTGGTTGAAGTTTATTACGAAAATAAGAGAAGAGGGTGCGTTCTTAATTGGGGCGCAACTCCCATAAAAAGAAGCTAGCATGTTAATAGATAGAGGCTTCTAAGAGATCTAAACATTTTTAATAAATTCATTTTAATCTTTTTACTCTGGTTCTGTTTATGTTAACAATATATAAAAAAATTCTCTCTAAAACTCGAGCTTTTTTAAAAATATATATAGACAAACTTCGATCGAGATTCTTAAAAATTTCTTATATAATTGTTGGACATTTCTTATATAATTGTTCCTCAAAATATCATAGTCTTATAATTTTAAATAATAAAATATTTAAATATATAAATAATTTTATATAACATATATACATTTAATAAGGATAATTACATTTTAATATTGAATGTAATCAGCGTTAAAGATGTAGTCGCGAAATTTGACCGCAATTTGCGTAACAATACAAGAATTAAGAGGATAGCGTTAAATTTCCGATTTCGTGTCGTTTGTTTAACGGGTCACAAACTTCCAAATTGCCTTTTAGAATGGTAACGGAAGTCTTTCACCTTTCCTGGATGAGATGGACTTGTCATGAATAAATAAAACTATTATTTTTGCCGTTCCACTTTTTAATGATTGAGACATGGACCGGAACATCCGCTATGTTATTTCAGAATTTGTCAGTTTAATAGGATAACAAATGTACTATCGTTTTTAACATATATATGTACTATCTCATATAAAGAATATGAAATTAGATCACCAAAATTTTTTGGGAATTTTTAGTAAAGTTAAAATTTATATAAATAGATTTAATTAAATAGAAAAAAAGTAAGTAGAAAAGTTAAAAGTTATATCAATAAGAATTATCAATGAAAAAAATAAGTCAATAACGTAATGCATGTAATTTGAATTGATCAAATAGGCTGAGGTATCAAAATAAATTTATAAAGAAACGAGAAGAGTTAAATGACAATATTCTGTGTCTTATATTTATTTATTTACACGTAAATATATTTTATATATATGTATATATATTATATATATCACTGTCTCTTATCGCATTATAACTTTTGACATTTACATGTAAATCAGCTACTTTCTTCTATTCTCCTCACTCTCATTAAAGCGGCTTATATACACGATCAATATCGTTGCATAATATTACATTACATAATAATATTGAATTTAATGTCAATGTCATATTATTATTAATTAATGCAATATAATTGTATCAACATTATTGATATGTATAGAATGCGTAACATAGATTCAAAAACATCGACATTTTCATTAATATTTTCTTTTCCAACATACAATGACATGTAGCAAAAAGAAAAAGAAAAGTAAATCGTTAGTGGACCGTAGCATGTAATCGTATCGAATATTATATAGCAGGCGAATCTTTTTTTTATAATTAATTCCATTCGTTCAGGGGATTACCCCAGGGGGTAAGACACAAAGGAAATAAGTCAAGCTTCATTACTTCTGTAAACGTCTTTTTGTCGATCTGATATCGGTATAAGTATATATCTTCATCACGTTTTTTTCAGTCGTCAAAGAGTAAGATTTTCGAAATATGCTGTGCAACAAGATATAAATAGGGATTTGTAAATCTTGTCGTTACAGAGAGAACTTGTGATTTAGATTAATTCACGATTTCACAATGCTATAAGGACGCGTTCACATCTTGATAAAAAAGCAGAAAAGCAGCAGCCAATTAGAATTCGCTGATAGTCGACAATTTCGATTTTCTGTACTGTTTATTACTATCAGCGCGAATTCTGCTGCTTTTCTGCTTTCTGCTTTTCCGTCAAGATGTGAACGCGCCCTAAAACATAAGAATGTATTAATTTTTTAAATCCAATGGTTTAATTCGGTAAAATCGTCCCTGTGTATACATATACGTGTGTCATGTCAGCAAAAGATTCTGTCAAATTGATTATTTCTTCTAATCGCAGTGGGAAAACTGTTCGTACATATAAAATATTAGACTATTCCAACATAAAAATATAACTGATCACGGGATTCAATCATTAATGTCTTTTATGGATGAATCAACATGGATTAAGCGATGAAAGTTCACACGCTTAAATATTTAAACATTATTTACAATAATCTAAAAGTCACGATGGTGTCGCTACAATTTTATTTGCACTGAGAACATCACCGATCTGTCGCTTTCTTATTGGCGTCTTGTTGGTAAATCCTTTCCTAATTTTAAAAAATCAATCTTGATAAAGAGAAAATGTATTTTTTTTATATAAGCTAAAAAAATGTCATCTATTTTAATTGTACAAATCAAATATCAAATTCAGCGATTACCCTTTTTGTAAAGATAAAAAATCCGTACATAGTATTGTATTCAAACCACAATTGCAACACACTTTTTACAAGAGTCAAGTCACCCTTTTGCGAAGTTGAGAGACTTGCTTATAAAAACTTCTTTCAATGTCGCATCACGTTTGATATAAAATTTTAATTCGGATGATTATAAAAAGTTACTTAAGACGAAGATTATTCAAGCTGGAGAATGGAACGTCATAGAAATCTACTCTATGAACAGACGACACTAATATATCTCTTAGATGCGGCATTAAAAGAAAACGTTACTTTGGTCATGCACTTGCTATATTGAAAAAAACTTATGGCCTCTGTATGGATATTTAAACAACTTTTAATAAAAAGTTCGTTCCGAATGCCGATACTTACTTTCATATCAACAAATCTGAATACGGACCAAAAAAAAGTTTCTTTATACGTACATGTCATATAAATATATTATTAAAAATGTAAATGCGTGTCATCTCGAAAGTCTCACAATCAATCCATAAAAAATATTTACTATATACAAGTTGCCGTTTCATCATTTTGGCGTTTATCCTTTCGTTAGACGATAAACACTTTCCTATAATCCTCTTGATTTGTTTACAGTCGAATTTGAGATGTATAATGGACTCTCCAACTGCACGGCAGGTAGTTACTCTCATCACTCATGTACATATATACCATATTTCTACGTACCATATGAATGATGCGAAAAACTTTCATGTAAACGCTCTAAGCAACCTGTTTACCGATTAATAGTCATTAATTACTATAGCACAAGTATGACCACAATTCAGTATTCAGTCTTAAAACAATTTCATAAAAGCTTTCCCTTTCGTCATAAAATTTGACTTATTCAGAATTATCATATTAATAGTGTCTTGGCACATCTTCCCTAGTATGTAAACATTTTGTTTATACATACATATGGTATTCATGCAATTACGAGCGGTTCGTCATCCGAAAAGCCTCGGATTACCGGACTATCTTCTTCTTCTATAAAAAAAAAGAAGAAAAATAATTAATAGATTCTTTTCGCTTTTGTTTTGTATCATTCTTATCCCTTTTTTTCCAAATTGCGAGACACCACTCACCTAAGCCATCTGTCGTACCAGGGAAGGTGGCTTGTCCTCGTCTCGTATCGTAATGGCTATTGGCGAATTGCGTAAAGCTGTGAGATAGCCTCCTATGTCGAACGACGAAATACGCGAGCGCAGCACCGAGCGCTATAACAATCAAACAGATCGGTATAGCGAGGGATAATATGCCCGATGTATTCATTATCACCGGAAGCTGCGATCCTACGAAACAAAAAAGAGAAAAAATTATTATTAAAACATAATTTAAAAAAGCTAATTGAAAAAAAAATATTTTAAAAATGTTAAAGACAACTCACCTGAAATCTGCGTGCTCCAAGTTTCACTCAGTGGACTTTGGTATCCTTCGTTCGTGACCAAACGCGCCGCGAAGGTGTAAATCGTATCTGTTTTAGCATCTTTGTAGCGGTAAGGCGGCGGATCTTTAACTACCAAGATTTTAGCAGTTGTTTCATTTATTGTTCTCGATCCTTCAGCTACCAAAATTTCAAAATACCGCTCAGTATCCTTTCGAATGTGTTCCGGCAAATCCGGTTCTTGCCAGTAAATCAAGTATTCCATATTATCATGTAAGACAGTGAGCTGATGAGGCGGCTTGATCGGTGGCGCTATATAGATGTATGGTTGCGTGGGTATGGCATTTTCGACATCTGTGGCTACTGTAATATTGTACGTCCCACCATACTTGATAGAATGGAACATGTGCTTCATAACAGTTTCGTTAGTTGCTGGCAATGTCACAACTATGTGCTTGTTCATAATCATTTCCGTAACGGAAATCTGTAATCGGGAAAAAGATACGAAATCGTGATGAATATTCTTACTAAACAAAAAAAAATACATGCATTTAAAAATTTTTCTCTAATAAGAGAAAAATGAAATTTTCGAGAAACTTTTCGTAAATATAAATCTCGACTTTCTTAAAATTTCTCGCATTGTCATTTTTTTTTTAAGAAAATATTTTGTAGCATTATTGACTCACCGTGTAACTGATCATTTCGTCGACTGCTGGACAACTTGACATCCACGAAACGATCATGCTGTCATTTTTATTTTGCACTGGCGCTACTCGCAATCTCTTCGGAGGTGCACGCTTACTGAAGTGTGTCATAACTGTAAGCGGTTGATTTAAAGGTCCTGCTCCGTAATCTCCAGTGACGCCAACGGCAAAAAAGTATGCTTCGCACGCTTCCAGATCCTTAATCGTAGCCGTAAGATTAGCAGTGATAAATTTGGCAGCTAAAAATAAAAATAAAAATATATATTCCTCAGAAAGAAAACCAAATATAGAGAACAAAATGACATCAAAAAGTAATAAGGTATCGATTATTCCATCTTAGGTATTGAAATAATCCTTATATGAAGAAAGTAAATATAAATGATTCCTCACATTTAAAGAAATCCTCCATGTTGATAGCATAGTGAATAGCATATTTCCACTTGATCTTCCTGGTGCTCTTCGGGGGGTCCCAAGTAAGTTTTACGGTTGTTCTCTGGGATTTTACTAACTGCGCGTCAAACTTAGTTATCGTGGGCAACGCAGTGCCGTTTGTCGTTGCTGTCACCGAGGTGACCTTACCGACGTAATTCTTTTTCATCGCGCCGACTTCAAAAGTGTATTTAGTACCCGGTGCCAATTTGTCGACTTCCATCAGATTATTCATTGTTGTGACGGTTTGCAAATTTGGATAATTCGGTGGTGCTCTGGGAGTGATGTGATATCCGTCCACGTCCTGCATCTTTTTCCATGTCAAAGTGACAGAGTGATTCGTCGTGGCCACTACACGGAGATCCTCAATATCATCGATGTTAGCTGTGCCATCGAACGTCAGCATAACAACTTGTGATGAGACTGAGTTATAGTGTCGGTTCTTTGCCACGATCCAGAAGGAATAATTCTTGCCTGCCTCGAATGCTATATCGATGGTTGCGGAGGTTTTTAATCGAGTAAACTCTAATGGTGGTATCGGCGGTGTAACGTAGCCCAGATATCCAGAGATAACACCATTAGGATGTAAGGGTGGTCTCCAAGTCACCTCTACACGAGTACCGTTCTTCTGCGCGACCTTTACATTCCACGGCTCGCTTGGTACACCTTCACCAGTCATCACCATGTAATACTTTGCCGGTGGAGATACCTCAGATAGAGATTGGCCCTTCGCCTTCACATAAACTGTTAGATTATATTTAGTGAAAGGCTCGAGATTATTGAATTGATACTCCGTGTCTTCGATCCACTCGGTAGCATTTTTCCACGGAGCCCCTGGTATCGCCCGCGCAATTGATGGCAAGAACTCAAACGTTACGTTCGATGGTATTGGCATCCACCAAAAGAGATAGAGACTTGAATTATTGATAGAACGTTCATCAACACCCATCACTAATACTTGATATTTGCGCGAGTTATTCTTCTCGCAATGTTCCTCATCGAAGCCATCTAAACAATCGCGATTACCGTCACATAAAGCTGCCAGTGGGAAGCAGCGGGAATCGTCACATGGGAAAAGACCGGCATAGCAGGATGGCGTGGCAGGTAATTCACTCGTGTGACAACCGAGCTCGTCGCTACCGTCCGGGCATTCCTCGACACCGTTGCACATGCTCGAGAGCGATACGCATGAACCGTCTTGACGGCACATAAATTGATCGTTCTCTCGACACGACGTGTGTCCACGGTCACAATGTTGCTCATCCTCGCCGGATGGACAGTCCTTCAAGCCATCGCACACCCACGCGTTTTCAATACACTCACCGTTATAACACTGGAACTGGTGCTCGCGACAGATGCGTGACTGTTGCGTCGTGTGAACCGGAGACGTAGGTTCCAATGCACCATCCGCACTGCTGCCGCAGCCTATCTCGTCGGAATCGTCGCCGCAATCGTCTACACTGTCGCATTTCCACCAATAAGGCACGCATTTCTTGTTATTGCACATAAACATCCAGTCATTACAAGAATTTGTCGGTAGTATTGGGATTACCGACGTTGGTAGCGTAGTAGTGGTGGTACAATTCACCTCGTCCGAACCATCGATACAGTCCTTGTCACCGTCGCATGCCCATGATTTATATATACACCGATGTCCATTTTCTTTGGTGTTGTTGCATGTAAATTGCCATGACTCGCATACCATATTACTACAATCCTTCTCGTCGGCACCGTCCTCGCAATCTGGTTCGCCGTCACATTTCCAAGATGTTGGTATGCACGAATGATCTGTTTTGCAGACGATCTCATCGGCCCGGCATGTGTTCGGCTGAATGTTCTTGGTACAGTTCTGTTCGTCTGAACTATCTCGGCAGTCATCCTCACCGTCACAACGCCAACGATGTGATATACAACGGCCGTTGAGACACCTAAACTGCGTTTCGGTGCAATTGCTGTACGTACAATTCATCTCGTCCTTGCCGTCCTTACAGTCACGATCCAGGTCGCACACCCAGTATTTAGGAATACATTTGTTATCATCGCATTCAAAATTATTCGGGCTACATGTGGCACGGTTGCATTGAATCTCGTCTGAATTGTCGCCGCAGTCGTTATCACCGTCGCACTTCCAGAATTCGGGGATGCATACATTGTTGTTGCAAGCAAACTGGTTAGATGAGCAGGTGCTAGCAACGCGCGGGCATGTCGAGTTGGAGTATGGCTTGATACCCCCTGGGCATAAACACGTACCTTCTGTCATCACCATGCCATCCGGGCAGAGACAAACGTAACTATTAGAAGGTGCGCCCAGACAGATGTGTGAACATGTGTTGTTTTTCGCGCATTCATTCGTGCCAACTTGCACGCTATGCGCAAAGATCTTCAAATCCATCAGACCTGCGATCTGAAAGCCGAGTATCGTGCTGATTCCGACTCCGTGATCTTTATCAGCGACAAATATCATTGATTGTTTCCAGTCGTCCCAGTACAAATTGTCTTTGAACACGGCAACCGCGAACGGATGTGAGACACGCGCTTCATTAGCAATGATTTTCTTAAATCTTTTACCCTCAAGATCCGAGGAAGCTATGTAATCCGCTCGAGCGTCTACCCAATAGATACGTTCAGCGATGTGATCAATCGTTATTCCATTCGGCCATTCGACAGTAGGCTTAAGAAATAATCGTTTAACATCTGTGCCATCCAAGTTAGCTCGAGATACTGAAGCGTTGCCTGGTGCCCAATCGGTCCAAAACATATAGCCACGCAGAGGGTGAACTGCAATACCTCGTGGCTTCTGCAGATTATTCGGTCCCAATATTGTCCTGCGCATTCTGCCTACAGAAGGGCCAACATCTGTTCGGATGATCTGTATTCTCATCTTAACACCGTCCACAAAATATAACACATTGGACACCCAGTCAAAAGCCATTCCCTCGATGGAACTCAGATCGGTCTCAACAAGAATCTCAGGATAGCTAATTCCATTCAGACACTGTCTACCGATCGTATCGTTTACGATATCCGCCCAATATAAACAATTGTTTCTCATATCGAATTCGATTGCAATAACATTTTTTAAATCATGCACAGGTAACTTCTCCAATTTGTTGTTGTCCATCAAATCAATTCGTGTAATGTGTTCTCGTTGGGCGACCAATAAGAAGTCTGGTCTTTCATCCATCGGACATGGAATCTCATCAGGTTCATAGTTTTTCGCAAGGCCGCCAGTACAATCATCATCAGATATCTTTATATAGCCTTTCGTGCGATTATAAAACATACCGGGTTGACACGGAGTCGGCACGGCGTATGGATCATAATCGGGCATGGTTTTGTTGTGGACGCAGTGATATGGATTCCCACTAGGTATGAAACCGTAAGCGCACTGATAATCGTTCGCGTCGCATTGACAGGTCTCCAATCTCACTGGTCGATCGTAGTTTACGCCTTGATAACAATTGGAGCGCAAGGCACGTCTCTGATACGTTTCCTTACGTCCTAACACACAAGCCATGACCGGTTGTTCGGTGCTCGTTGGAGACCAAAATTTGTAATCGTCTTCTGTGCATTCTCTTTCAAATACATGTCGTAGATCAATCTTGATGATAAGCCACTGATGTTGTCCACTGTCCGATCCGAACATGGTGAATACCGTGGTATTTTCTCCAGGTTCCGTCATGAGACCGTAAACACGCAACATCTTTTCGTTGAATTCGTACGTCTGCCATGTCTCGCCCTCATCCGTCGAATATGAGATATCTCTAGTCTCCCCGCGAGATTTAAAATACTTAACTGCCACCAATAAACCTCCGTGATCGCCCATGTTAAAGAAGTAATAATCTTTTAACACTTGTTTCCACTTGAGACCAGCATCTCTAGATACATAGAGTGCCGGATGACCCTTCAAGTTAGACCCAATGACGCCAGTCGCCATTATTATCCCAGGCGCCGATTTCGAGCTCATAATAGTAGCGGATCTCGTCACTGGATACAATTGACTGAATCTCTGACTCAAATGTAACGAACAGTCTTTTCCACAGTGAATGTAGAAGCCTTCATGATTCGCCATTGGTGCCTTAAGACTGTTCCAAGTGGTGCCATGATCGAAAGTAATTAATGATTCCAAGTGTTCTGGTCCGATAGAGCTTGATTTTGGAGTACCTTTGACCCGCGATGCTATGTATATACCTCGAAGACCTTCGACCTTATAGAGATCCGTAAATGTTTCATCAGCCACATCACTGTGCAAATATAGAATCGTATAAAAATACAGATGAATTAAGAAGATATCAACAAATTTAAAGAAAAAATTAAATAAAATAACGAAGAATTTTTTAAACTTGTTATCTTATTTTCACAAGTTTGACAACTTTCATAGCAATTATATTTGTAAAATTTCTAACTTTATTTTTATAAAAAGAATGAGTATCCATTATATTTCATTACTCACTTCAACCAGCTGTCCTTCCAAGTACTGTTGGGGAAAAACGTGAGGATACTCTCCAAAGACAATGTAAATATAGCTTTCTCATGATCTATAACTTCGGACACGTAAAGATTGATCATAGTGTCGCCGTGCTTCACAGCGATAAAGACTCGATTAAACGATACATCTACAATATGATATTCCTTGCAATCCAATTCCGTGTTAAAATGCGCTTGGACAAATGTCTGATTCTTATAAGAGACAAAGAGATCCAGATGTTCCGTTCCATTCTATTAAAAAAATATATAAATAAAATAATGTTCAAAGTGAAAACAATTAAACTCTGAATCTTATAAGAGATTTCACAGGTAGCATCGTCACGATGACGATACCTTACCCTTTTCTTAACAGCGAACATGAAATCGCCTCTGATCTGAAAATCTTCAACATTTTCAACGACAACGATAAATTCCTTTCGTATAGACATTCTTGCTCGCAATTGATTATTTCCTCTTATAAATGAGGATATATTTCGCAGATCTAGTTTCAAAACCGTATTCGCTCCATCAGGCTCCATGCGTTCAATTAATAATTCACGATAAGGAGACCAAAAGAAAGCCTTTACGAATTGATGAATTGGCATCCAGGTGAATCCACGATCGATTGTCAACCACAACTGAAATCGAGGTGTTCCAAAGTCAGAAAAAAGAATTCTTGTATGACCATTTTAAATTCTTTAAAATAAGATAATAATAATGGTAATATGTACATTTAAAATTTAAATAATTGTAAAATAATAATAATAAGTCTTATACCTTCCGCGATGTATCGGTTTTGTCTAGTGCGACAAGTATCCGTGGATCTAATTCGAAATACGAGACTTCATTTGGATGAAATGACAACGAGATCCTCAAAATTGTTTGACCATTATTATATGTGATGAAAATTAAACTATTCAGACTGTCCATAAAGACGCACTGCAAAAGAAGGGAAATGTCGCGAACATTCTTCAAACAATAGAATTGGAGATGCGCCAGGAAAATATACCGGCTATTTATTTTGTAATGAAACGTTTTTGTAAAGCGGAACTCACGTGTTGATAGTACTTAGGATGATTGGTGAATTTGTCTACAACAGCATATGGGGCATCGGCCTCAGACGAAACCTTGAAGTGTTCAGTCTTATTCTCAAAGCTATCACCATAATCGTAACTGATGTACACAGCGCTAGGTTGATTCGGGGAAGAGAACTTGCCTCCTTGGAAGCGTACCACGGGCGAGCTATCCCTCGCTAGACATATTATTACATTCGAACCCTCCCCAACCCAATGTACCATCAATTGTTGATGCGAATCATTTAAAGGATTAACCTGTAACGATAATAAGAAACAAAGTTTTTGTTAGAAAGCATCAACAACATCAGATATAGATCAACTTTAACGTAAAAATAAAATAATATTTATCCTCGGATAACGGGATAACAAATAAAGCGGAGATAAGAGATAATCGATAAGAAATTTCGATAAAATAAATAAATACTGAGAAGATAAATACGCGAAATAATCATTGTATATAAAATCAGCATGATTTATTAGTACGTGGATACAAGATGTACGTGCGTGTTACGCGACAATTTCAATAATCGTAATTGTAGCTGGGCGGATATACAGCAGGAGATGAATCATTGAATATTCATTCGTGGAAAATCCTCCTATCTCAATTAGTTGATCCTGTCAGCAGTTAATATCATGTTACTTTGGTCAATGTTCAATGTCACATGATGTTATAAACGTTCACATAAAAAGAGAAATTAGAAACACAAAGCAATGAATAATTTAAGACATTGTTGCAGATAATGTATATAAAAGGAAATGAAATGGGTAGTAATTCTGCAATTATGTAATTCTGCAGAGAATTACATAATTAGCTTTAAAATCGGAAGGAGGAAAAATCCCAAGATTGAAAGTCAGATAGTCGGCAGTAAATTGTTCTTATTCGAAAATCGTTTCAAGAACGCCTTAAAACACTAAGCATTACTAAAAGTTTTGTATCTGATTTAAAAATATCTTAAGGGAATTCTAAAATGACAGAATTATCGACAACATTACAAGTTAAAAGATACTGTGAATTGACTGTACAAATTGTAAAATATTTTTACACAATTAACATATACACGAAAAATATTCAAAATCGAATTAACGACAAAATAGAAAAAAGTAAAAATAACATTTAGTATCATTGCAAAGTTTTAATTTTTTTTCCGATTTTCTTGTTAAATCAACTTTTTTTGTATGTGTTTTAATTATGTAAAAGAATTTTTGTGAAAATTAACATATTTATATTAATTTTTGCATGTCCCAGAAAGTCCACTGTACGTCCTTAAATTAAAATTAACATTTTATTTTTAATAGTGTAATAATGCACAAAACTATTTAAAAATTGAAATTATTTATCATGTTTTTCCGTTATAATACTTACTAGGGAATGTAAACTGATATATATATATATATATATATATATATATTATCCGCTTATTGCAGTTTTTAACATAGTACATTATTGCCATTTTCCATCAATGTAGATCAACTTTAATGTCGGTTCAACTTACTCTTCGTCTTTTTCTAGTTCTAAAGATTAAACATGATAAATGATTTCAATTTTTAAACAGTTAGTAATGACCACTGAAAGCATAGCTTAGTCTCATTTGTACATAAAAATTACATTAAATAACATTCAGGGCTTAAAATGTTCATTAAAGATGTCAACTAAAAATATGAAGATTTGTTATCATGTATTTGTTATCAGGAAAATAAGCAAGCAAGTGCGTTCACGCATTCCATTATTCTCATGTGTGTCACAAATGTGACTAAGTGTACGTAACGTGACATAAGGAAGGTAACTGCGCAGAAAAAAAAAGAAATTCAACTATCATTGTTGAAAATCACGATCTTTGACAAAAATGAGGAAAGTTTACGCAGTTAGTTAGAATAACGAGTTTAAAGGCCTAAAATAATAACAGTGTTCGAAATAACGGCGGCGGGCATTCCAACGAATATCGTCTTGTTTACAAAGTCCCGGATGATCCGGAAAACTCATGGCGGCGCAGTCCACCAAAAAATGAGAGAAAAAAAAATTGAGAAAACAGAGGAAAGATTACAGTTAGAGTGACGGTTAGTGACCCCTCGGTGGTGTCAGTGACGGCGCGGATCCGCGACGCTCCGTTTCTCTCTCTCGTCCGAGATTGATTAAATTTACTCCGGAAGAGAGAGATAATACGGCAATTATTGCCCCAGCTTATTCACGCGCCGCGCACAAAGGTCGCGCTGTGCGTCTCTCCCGATGCGACAATCCATTGGGAAAAATTCCGCAGGACGACACGCAGTAACCAGCAGAGGGCGGAGAATGCATGCGTGTGTACGTGCGTGTGCACGCGTGTGTGCGTGTGACGCATCTATTTGTACTATACCGCTATAATGCGGTAGGACTTTTCATCGCTCACTCTTATTTGTGACGGGCGCAAAAGCAGTCGTAGAGAAATCATTATTATTATTATCATCATCATCGTGTTCGTCACCGTCGTCACCGCAGCCGCCAGCCGGTCGAATTGCGACGCAACGGCGACGATAACGGTGGTGACCTTCGGACGATCGAACGATCGTTTACGCGTACTCGTACCTTTGCCGTGATGTTTGGACTATTATTTGGATGCTGCGGCAATGGTACGTCTCGACGCGTACGTTCAAATGACATTTCCCGATCGCTGTCATCCTGGTCGCGTAGATCCGCGCTCCCTTTGTCAATAACGAACGTCTTCTTGTATTGCTGATCGTTATGCTCCGCAACGTGCAACCGCTTCGCCGCGTCACCGTATCGCACATCGTAATCGCACTCCGTTAGTAGAACCAGATGGAGGATTAACGCGAAGTAATAATAGAGGGCCATACTCGACCGACCGGCCATCTTGCCCAAGACTGACTCCGCTCCTCGCAAGAACGGGTGTATTATACTTGAACCGTGAATGACGCGTTTACGCTAGACACGCCATTCGCGATTCAAACGATCGAACGTACCATGATGTCATGCGTGTAGATGGCGCCACAAGTCCATTAAAAAAATATATGTATTGAAAATTTTATTCACATTAAAATTTCTAATTCTTCGAATTCTTAGAAATAATTGTATTTTGTTTACGAAGAAAATTATATACGAATGAAGGCAGTATAAGATTTTGTTCCTGCTGTAAAGTGACCTCTGAATCTCTGATGAATCAATCATATTACATAATATTATTGATCGTCTGAAGGCTACATATTCAGCCTCGAGATTGCTTTGAATTGTTTCAAAGGAAGTTTCCAATAATATGCACAAAGTATATTAATATTGAGCATTTTTAGGAGAATCATTTTATATTCTTCAAATAAAAAAAAATCATCGTGATTCTCGTTTTAATACGCGTTTTAATACTCTCTTTGACGTTGAATGTACTCATTTTTAATATATCTTTTATTATGTACACATAATAAAAATTCATAAAATATTTACGCGAAATTTATATTCCATATAAAAGAGAGAAGAATCGATCGCAGAAAAAGGAGTAATTTTTTACCATTCTATATTTAATGTTTTATTAAAATTGCTCGTTTTCGATTTTGCAAAAAATTAATTCATTTCATTTATTTATTTGTATTTGGCGATTTCTCTATATAATAATAATTATTAAGAATTAAATTATTACATAAAATTTGCTACATAAAATTTGTTACATAAAGTTTTGAAAAGAGAAAAAATTTGTTGTATTACAAATCAAATTTTCCTTCGACGAATTAGCACCATAATTGGATGTCGAAAGAAATAATGATGAGCAAAGAAATAATTTGCTAATTATTTGGGCTTTTTTTGACAACGCAATGACTTATTTATAAAAATAATAATGTATTATAATTAAGATAGTTAAAAAGAGCAAGTAATTCCATTTTTTGCACAATAAAATATGACTAAGCGTCTACTTATTAACGTCATTTGATAAATATAAATTTGCGTGCAATTATTTGAATACGAAATGAAAAGTAAAAATACTCAACTTTAACATCTCGATTTACCAAGAATTTAATAACTGTTTGCGAATACCAAGGTCTTCCTATCTGAATCCCTCCTTTTTACGAGGTAGGGATATGCTCACATAGTGGCACATTGTGTCCATAAAGATATATTTATCTAAATATAACATACATTAATTCACATATGTTTTATGTTTCCTAAACGTCCTGGTGAAAAAATAACTTATAATATTTAAAAAAGTTTTTATATATTTTATAATGAAGAATTTCGAAAATACTTAAACTTATTCTTCAGATTTTATAAATTTTCTTTGAAAATTATAGAATAAGAATTAGAATATAATAGAGAATATTTCAAAATATGTCAGAATTTACACATATAAAGGATTCTAGAAAAAAAAATGTAAATTTCAGTATTTTTGAAGTATTCTAATTTGTATTCTAAAAGTTTTTAAAAAATTGTAAAATTATACAAGAATTTTTTATAGTTCTGAAAATAGATACAAAATTTTAAAAAAAAATTTCACTATGACGTATCTGATGTAATTGTTTAAATTTAAGAAACGTACATAAAGTCGACATATATACTACTCGGTAAATTATCAGATCAATAACGATTGATAACGAGAATAAAAAAACAACGAAAAAGATTCTCATCCTTGGCAGATAGACGACGGATGGAAGGATCGCCTGTCAGGTTCAGAGAGTGGTTTTAATGACGACGCGCAGATACAATAATAAAAGTATATTAGATAATGACATTCGCTCTCTTTCTCACTCTTGCTTCCTAGTTGGAATGACATTATTGGCGCGTCCACGTAGAAGCTCCCGCCGCAAAATGTTCGATGTGATCCAGACTCCGAAAATGTTGGGGGAAAATCAAAGCTTTTATTCAAACTCTGATTACGCGCGTTCAAACTGGATGAAATTTATCACATCCAACGCTAACTTAATTGTTAAGGAGCTTAATTAATCGTCGCTGCAGACTATTGACTTCTCATTTTTATCATAAAAAGACTATTAAACTGGTTACGGATGTCAAGATAAAATGTCTCTTATTGGACGACATCAAGAGATTACTTTATACGTGATTTGATCTGAAAATATATAATTGGCTTGAGAAATATTTTAAAAAAGCTTCTTCGCGCGAATTGATGTATAGAATGACAACTTTAATTTGTAACGAAATCAGTTTTCTTTAGAAGATAAAAATACAGGACATATATAGATTCAGTCTATTAATTTCTTCTCCTTTTAAAATTAGTCAAAACTTTTTGCTAAAAACTAATACTAAATAAATCGAATCGTTTATTTATTGTTAATATATATCCATAGAACACAAACTAACAGTAACATTACATCAATATTATAATTTTCCATTCAACAAAATAAATGTAGTATGTAACAGTTCCAGTGTTGAATAAAAAATTATATTGATGTAATATCACTGTTAGTTTGAGCTTTGAAGGTAGAAATATAGCAATTCCGTAAAAGAGATGCTGCAATGTATTTTTTGTAAAATGACGAGCTTTTCTTCTTTTAAAACATAATTTAGTATAATTGTTTAAGCGGATGTAATAAACGTAATATACGAATACATTACAGATATATTCTTTTAAAATAAAACTAATATTTATTCTTTCTTTCTTTGAGAGAATTTAATTTTCATCATTGATTGAGGAAGACCTTAATAAAGGCCGAAATTAGTTTCAACTAAAGAATGATTGAAATATACAGGAAATTCAATTGAAAAGTATATGAAAAGAATAGCTGTATTGTGTTGCACGGATATAATATTAGACGACATTTCGTGGCCCAGAATTCTCAATATCACTGATTGTTATTAATTATTATCGAGTATTAATATCTTGGCAGACTTGGTTTTTAATATATTTCACCAGAAACTATCTATTCTAAAAATGCGAAAAATGGCACAAAGCCTGCTTTAGACATATAATTCATGTAAGGTCAAAATAGCAATCTAACATTCCTTTTTTATATCATGTGCATTTTTATACTGTATTATGTACGATACTGCAGATTCTTTTCGTACTATATGAAATTATAGTTAAGATATTTTCTAACAGAAATTGGGGATCAAAAATAACAGTTTTAGTCTATTAATTTCTTCTCTTTTTAAAATTAGCCAAAATTTTTTGCTTAAAAATGATACTAATAAATAATAAAATTAATAAAGTTACTAATAGTATAATAAAAAAAATTCAATGTTTATTTTGGATTTATCTTTATTGATGTAACGACAATGTAAATTCTGACTGCATATATCACGATTTTTTATATTTGCTTGACTTTATATGTATATAGCGATATTTAAATTCTGATTTTCAGATTCATCATTACGGAAGATTCCAACACTAGGGGCCGAAACATTCAACATAACTTTAAAGCGCGTATTACCGGATTATCTCTATTATATATATATATTTTTTTTTGCATATCGCTTGCGTATTGACATCTGCATGTTGGCTTAATTACTCTTATTGCCTTTATCTGTCGACTGAAGAGAATATAATACTTCTGCAACAATTCTGCATACGTTGCCGTTTCGTCTCCGTTGCAACAAGAATCTTCCATTTAGTTGTATTAAAACGCTACAGAACGTTTCATATTTCATAAAACAAAGATCAATTTCCTTTCTGAAATGATTCCTTTGTGGAGCACTTCATTTGAGAACGATATCTTACCTTACTCACCCCGAGATAAACAATTGATTAAATGAGAAAGCAACAAGCATTATCGCGTCATGATTACGTTTATCAGTCTCTTTTTTTATAAAAAATTAACTTGCGTTTGTTCGTATATTCCCTCTCATACAAAAAATTGGCGGATTTTCATATTTTGGGGAAGCGCGAGAATTGTTTCCACGAGTGCATTTTTAAGATTCAGACACAATAAAAAGCACAGACAATATACTGAAAAAAGATTTGTTAATTCTGATAGAAAAATGTAATAAGTCTATCAATTATTCTAATCGAGATAATCAGAAATTCAATTACAACAGAATTCTGATTAATATGATCAGAATTCGTTTTGTTTGCTACTTCTAGTTAATACAATCAAATCATTTTTTTTTTCAGTGTAAGAATAGAAAACACAGGCAATATATTTCAATGTACCAGAAATTACGTATCAACGCGCAGCAATTTCTGGAAGGTTGAATTTTGTTTGTGTTATTCCTCGTTTCTATTGCCTGTGTCTTTTATTGTGTCTACGGGGCCTTATTCCCGATAATTCGATAATTCGCGGTAGACGTAACTAGGGCGAAAGTTATTGTGCGGCGTAGTTTTTTTTTTCTAAAGCCTCTCAGCTTCGCACGTCGTGCAGAAATCGATACCGTCGCAAATAGATATACCGCGTGCTGTGTTCGCGCTGTCACATGCCAACACGTGCTCCCGCGTTTGACATTTAACGTGAACCAATTTCGCAAATGCAACTTTGTAGCCGAGAGTTGTCACGCACCGACTATTGTAGTCGCGTATCTTGGCAAACCATTCGGAAAGAGCGGGATCCAGATCGACCGAATGCGAACAAACAGCTTGTCTGAATCAGCCGTGCGAATGACGCCGCGGTGAGAATAAATTCGTTCGTTTAACAAATAAGTAAAGAAGATAATATTCAAAATAGATGCCTAATAATATTTTTGTGTAACTTTTTATAATATAATGTAATATTACCATTTTTATAATATTACATAAATTTTCTTCCAGTTTAAACTACCGATTATTTGTTGGTTTTGAAATATAGTTCTATAAGCTGAAACTGGAGTACGTATAAATATTACAAATTAAATTGATATATAATTTAATATTGCTGTTGCTAATGAGTATCTTCAAAATACTGTAGAGAATTTATCGACATCATCTCAGCCAGGATTTGAAATTAGATCTCCCTTATTCATTCGTGTTCATTCGCTTAATCTGGATCATAACTGAAAGCGATTAGCTCGCAAAAAATATTAT